TAAACAACCTCCAGCCTCATATTTTATGACCAGTGCCATTAAGGACTTGATCCTATTGATTTTGAAGTGAATGACAAAATTCCAGTCCTTTCAGCAAGGCAGAGCTAAGCCCTAGAAGGTCAAAATCAGCCTAGTACCATAATTGTGTTAAAACCAACACAATTGGTCCATGTTAGCAGTCTTGGAAACTTGGGACTGCACACGCATTGGATGCATATAATCCCTATTAACATAAATGTTAGAAGCACATGTGAACTAGGGGAACAGTTCAGGCCCCTTATTGATAGTGTGAGCTGAGAAGTCAGTGGCTGCTCCAGCACAATGCCTCCCACACTGACATGGGTGACTGGTGTCTCCCGAGTCTAGTGGGGCACTGACAGGCACTGCTGTCAGCGTCAGCAGTAGGGCCAGCGGCACGTCCCCCCCCGTGTCCCCCATACGTGTCATCTACGCACATTGGGTTGGAGCATAGAGGTTGAACAGTTTGCACTGATGCCCCTTTATGCTGTAGCCTTGTGGATTAGCAGAGGGCTTCACTCCTCTGAGTTTTCAAAGCAAAACCTTCTACAAAGCCCAAACTTACACCATTGTTTCAAACTCCAAAATGGTTGCTTTACATGGGAAAAGCTAATCTGAAGTTTTAAAATGTAGAAACAAAAGATTATGCTGGGGTTGTTAAAATGGATCCAATAACCAGGAATAAGAAAGGGAAAGCTTGCAAGAAACATCCATTTGCAAGAAAGCTGGTATAGGTCTGTGGATATTGGCTTCTGATGGATTTAAAGGAAACCCCAAAAAGACGTGATGAGAAAAAAGATAATTTCAAGAAGGCAATTCATCAGTGAGGGTCTCTAATAATCAGGAGTTTATTGAGGGGTAGAAAACAAGTGATCTGTCTAACAGTGCTATGCCCTAATTGCCCTGATCTCATGGCTTCTTCACAGAGAAAGAGACAACTTTCCAACTCCTATCAGGGTTTCTTCACTCAGAATTGGAGCCCATTCCTGCACTGTGAAATTAATAGGAGACTCATTATTGGGCAGGGTGTGAGCAGCCAATGTTGCTGCACAACCAACATGTTTGAACTATGCCCTGTTCAGCTGGGTAGGGAGGTTCCTGACTTTGTGTCCTTGCTGCCTGCGCAACAACCTCCTCCCGATTCAGAAAGCTGCAAGTTCCTGCCCTACCTACATGAGCATATTCTTTGTACCACAGAACCTCTTTACAAAAACAATAGCAATTGAACATAAGGTAAATTTGGTTACTAAAATATTCTAAAGTTTTGGGGTGGGGGTTGTGTTTTTTTACATTTCCATTGGATTGTTCCTACTATTCTTTAGGCAATTGAGATAAACTTTATTAGAATGTTATTAATTATATCAACTTTGTAATTTGTTTTTTGCTTTGTGCTATTTATTACTTGTGCCCGTGTGCATCAGCATCTGTTTATAAACTGTAATGGGATGGCATTGTAATAAACAGCAATCAAAACTATATACATACATATATGTATATAATTACTGCTTCATAGAGGGAGAGTGCTGTTGTTGTTGTCCATACCTAGGATTTCTTCTGTGTTTGCAGATCTAATACAGAACATAGCACCTTCTCTCATTCCCATCTGGATGCTAAGAGTGCTTAACTTCCAATGAAACCCCTCTGAGGATCTGACCCTATCATTAAAAATGTTCACTGTTTATCTGCTTTCAGATTTAAACAAGGACTAGAGATAACAAAGAAGAGGAGGAAAATATCACAGCTGTAGCTAAATGTAACATATGTAGTGCCCTCTAGTCTGTCACAACTGTGATGGTTCACAGGTCTGTGTTGCATGAGAATTTTAGAGATTTACACTATATCACAACATAGTACTTCATTGTTTATCTGAGTTTTGATTGGTCATTGTTGGCCTCATTCTTCCCAAGTAAACCAGTGTGAATTTAGTCATGAATTTCAGTTGGAGTCAATGTAAGGTGTATGGCAACATTTCTGCCAAGCCAAATAATTTTTTAAGGAGATTTTATTTTGAGATTATCTATTTGGTGAAAGATATAATAGAACCATCTGGAGTTATGATTTGATAGTAACTTCAGTCAGGTGTGCAGCCTAGTCAAAAGAATTTTAATGAAACAAGATTATTTAAATTATATACAACTTTTCCTTTTCTTTGACCTTTTTTGTATCATTTTTGTCTCATTTCATTTCTACCAGCCTGAAAAGGAACTTCTCACATGTGTAAAGCTAGACAGGTGTTTAAATGGTTGCAAGGCCAGGGTCTGGAAAATTCCCAGTGTAAGTGTTGGCAGTTTTGTCAATGGTATTGCTTGTGTATGTATGTAAGTCCAGACCTACACATACATGGCAGTAAAAACTAATGCAATCATTACTAGACCATCCCAATGAGCTAGAAGAGCTCACCCCTAAACCTTTGTGCTGCTACCAATTTTATTTTGTTGTTGTTTGGATGGATAACACCTCTACTGATTGCTCAGCAGCTTTTAAGACTTTGTCCTATAAACAGTTAAGGTCTTTGATGATATTGCATTCATCCAACATGCCTCTTTTTTGAAAGGTAGCAACCCAATTTTGGACACCTTTATTGACCATAATTGTCAAGATGCATTAGTTGATCCTGCATATCTACTAATTTACCAGAAAACACTAAAACTTAGATTTAACATTATGTTGTACATCCATTTCCTAGTAGACAAATATCCACATTGCCAGTGCCATCATCCTAATTGAATGAATCAAGACCCTTTTTAGAAGTGTCAGAAGAAACAAGAATTCGGTTACCCATGAAAATTTCCCTTATTTTTTACCCCAGGGGGTCCATCTATGACAGAGCTGAGAGAGGGAGAGATGACAGAGCAACAGAAAAAGAGGTTTGCACTAGTGCCGTCTACATTGTTCCTCTTCTGCAGTTAAGAAATGTAATCCAAAGCCCACTGAGGTCAATATGAGTCTTCCCATTCATTTCACTAGATATTAGACCAAGTCCTGGATGGACAGGGCTGTCAATCCAGCAATTTTCATGAGCATCTGTACTACAGATAGTTTACAAAAGTGAAATGACCACACTCCTCATTGATATATAAAAGCACTGTAACAGAAAACATGCTCATTTTAACATCTTTAATTCTAAGAATTTAAAGAAATACAGAGTAGTTGAGTAAGAATTGCAACGTTACTATACATGAGTTCATAACAGATCCAGTGCATACTATCCAGTTTACATTGCCTAAAAGCTGTGAGATCTTTTTTTATATTACTCCTAATACAAAATTTAACACATTGGAAAAATGACTTAATTCAGTGAAAGAATAATACACAACACAATGTATGTTGCAACTGTGTAGACCACAGGGTTTCAGGAACAAATGCCACATCCTGATAAATGGGTTTTTGGCTAAGCACCAGAAGCAATCATTCTGAGTGGGATGTTACTGCTATGTGGTTAAATGGGAGTATAAGGTTGAGACTGAGTATAAGGTTGTTTTCCTGTACTGGACATTAATATGATATTTGAACATATACAAATGAAATCTTTCAAATTTAATAGCTGTGAAAGCATATTTTTTAAATTCAAGTGTGTAGTATAATTTAACTCAGTAAGAATAATTTCATATGCTGGGTGACATCCTAGCTCCAGTGAAGTGAGTGGCAAAAATCCCACTGATTTAGCAGGGCCAGATTTCCCCTTTTAGTATCTTCAAAGGTCCCTCAAACTCACTTTGGATTTCAGAAGGATTTGGAATCATAAATCTGTTAATTCCCTTTAAAAACTGCTGCCTACTGTTGCATTTGCTTTCTGCAAAAAAGCTGAGTAAGAATCTACAATGTCAGCAATACCGTAATATGTTAAATCTCACTCATCACACAACATATACTTAATAAAATGCAGGCTAATTACAGTGCGGGCACAAACTGGGCAATTATTCGGTTAAGATTTACACCTAATTAAGTGCACCTATGTGACGTTTTTGTACCACACTACCTAACTGGTTTTAAATCAGGTTAGTTACTCTGCAATTTTTCTACTGTAGACCAGTCCTGACTCAAAGAAAGCTGGCTACCATTTTAAATAAACCTTTAGTCTGACAGAGGGAAAAACACTAACAACCCTAAATAGTATACAACACACACCATACTTTGCCTTTAGGGAAAATAGTGAAAATAATCACTAACAGAGCTTGAAGGAGAAACTCTAGAAGTAAAACCATGTTTACCAGCAGACATAGATTTCTAGCATAAGGTTTCTCTAAATAAGAAGCAACAACCTTGATTATGGTCTCCTAAATTGCACAGTGACTCATAAGGTTTTCTCTGATTTCTCAGTGAAACTGCAGACAAACAGTATCTCTTTAACACAAACTTGCCTCCTTCATCCGTAATACAACTCGAGTGCGTCAAACCTTCATTCCAGAGAGCTCCCATAGTTTCCAAATCAGTCCTCAGCTGGGAAATGCTTTTAACAGTCTATCTTGTATTCAATAATAACAAAAACCTCTTGTATAGCATTTTCTGGGCATGAATTTCAGTCTTTTACAAAGAAGGTAAATATCATCATCCCCATCTTATACATAAAGAAACTGAGGCACACAGAGGTAAAGTGATTTCAGCCAGCCAGCAAGCTACTGCCAGAACTAGGAATAAAATCCAGGCTTCCTACATTCTAGTGCAGTACTCTATCCATTGGGTCAGGGTCAGACTATTTTCCTTCTACTGCACACAGCTAGAAATGTTAACAAATCCACATTTCTGTCCCTCCTTCTGAAACACTCATTATTTTGATTCCATGAGGTTTACTATGACCCTAAATAGCAGCATTACCCATTTTCTCTCTTTCCAACAAGCAGAGCTAATCTGTTGGAATCTCCAGCCTGTTGTTTCTGCCAAGTCCAATAATAGGGGTTGTACACAGGGAGTTCCCCAACAGAAGCAGAGAGACAGCTGTACAGATCTGATTCCTGTTGGAAGATTCCCATCTCTGGATAGCTTCTGACACAAAATAATCCATTTCACTTCTTATATCCACACACCTGTCATTGCCAAACATTTCTTTTACTATATTTTTGTTTGTGACACAAATCCAGGAGGACTGGTGGTATGGGGAGGCAGCACCTATTCTTTAGCTTTGACTCTGTGTGTGGCACAGAAAGGGAGACTTTCAAATACCCAAGGCCCTTCAGGAACACAAGAGAGGTTTGTCAGATATATTAGGCTGAAAAAGACAAGAAACAGGAACAGCCAAACCACTCAAGTCCTTTAAGTTGCACTTGAGAGCGGGTCACTGGGCAAAACTCCAGGAATCAAACTAAAAGTGGTGGCATCCAGCTTTTGAGTCGGTGCAGTCAATTTGGGAACTTGCTTCTGTCTGGCAGCAGCCTGCTTTCCTTCCAGCCAGTAAGTTACCATGTCTCCTTTTCCCTAAGGAGAAAATAAAATAAGCCAAGATGCAGCAACAGCATCTATCTCTTATATACAGGCTTCCATCAGTAGATCTAAAAGCACTTTATAAAGGTCAGCATCATTATCTTTGTTTTACAGATGGGGAAACTGAGGCACAGCAACTTGCCTAAGGTCAAAAAGCAAGTCAGTGACAGAGCTCGGATTTAAACTGAGTTTTCCTGAGTCCCAGTCCAATGCTCTGCCTGCATTACATAGGCCCTATCATCACACTGTTGCTGTTATTTATTCCATAATAGAACAATGTGGGGAAAGTATCTTTGAGAAAGTGTCATTGTTTATACATAACACTACAGATCAAACCAAGACTGATGATGTGGTTATCACAAACTTCCCCCTTAACTCAGTTACAAGACAATTCCAGTTTGTAGTTTGGACTGGACTCATATGGGCTTTGCCATCTCCCATAATAGAGGTAAAAGACTTTAATTAAATCCTTAAGTCAATCCATATCTTTATCCTGGACATAAGACATGGTTATAACATAGTCAGATCCTGTCCCCTCTATGGACTGCAACTGTGTCAATGTGATAACTGGGCACCTGGAAGCAATTGTTTCTGTGGTCTCGATGGAAGCGGCAATGGAAATGAACCATTCACCCAATGAAAAGTCTACCTTCCACATAGTTCCATATCATAGGGCAAAAGACCAGATAATGACCCAAAATGAAAAGACAGGATCTGGGTTTATACCCATCAAGGTCTAGGGGTGTTTAGATCTAACATTCTCATTTAGGACCTTTCAAAGAGAAAAAAAAAGCACCTGGATATGAGCTCTCCCCAAATGTGATTTGTCCCACTTTTTATCACAAGGAGTACATGCCACTGAGACTGAAGTCACTCCCCTCTCTCATAAATATGGGCAATTAGGATTCACTTGTTCAAAACAGAAGGCTTTTATCACTTTGATTTTTCACTCCACTTTAAAGTCTCGCTTGATTTTCAGTAATTGTGCTAATTAAGGCTAATACAAAGCCTCTGAGAGATCAGTGTACAAAGGGTTAAAATCAAGGACATCTCAGTGGCATGTACTTCCTTCACATGCTTTTTCTTCTAAAAATCTGGACATACACTGCATATATTTACCTTGACTTGTAAATTCCCTCGACACACTAACACATACTCTCCAATCTGCTTCAACAGTTGGTATGTACTCAAACTGCACTGGATTTTAAGAGCTGAAAAGGGAAAAAGTGCTATATTATTTTAACCATTTACCCACATACAACGTAGTCAGCAATGAATACTGCTTACTATCTGCTGCACAGGCTGCTATATCATCACTTCGCTTTTTTAATTTCTTTGCTGTCATTTCCATGTTATTTGAAGGGCTCACAGATGAACCGTAATGTCCTGGGTTTCTTTGTGAGGCATCTCAGGACAAATCCATGACTGTCAACAAACACGTTGTATCACATCCTGTGTTTGGTATTATTTTTCTGCTCTTTATAGCTGCTTGGCTGGAGTTGTTGACAAGTGTCTCTTTCATCTCACAGTGAAGAAATCCATATGGAGTTTTATCTTATGGCCCTGCAAAACTAGTGCTTTCTTCATGCAGTCTGTTTTGAACAAAACCTAAAACCACCTCACCCCCACCCCCTCCATCTTCAAAACTATGAATTAAAAAAGGGGGGGGGGAAGATACTGTTTCCTGCAATTGTATAAAAAGATATGGCTACACAAGTTTCCTTCTTTAGCTCAGGCACACAAAGTGTTTATTGTTTGGTCCTCCCGAGGAAGAGGGGTGTGACTGAGCAGGAGTCTAGGCAGCTGGACTCCTAGGTCCTATTTCCACTTCAACTGTTAATCCTCTGGGACACTGAGCACTGAGAAAGTGAGAGAGGAAGAGAACCCAGCTCAACACTCAGCACCCCATGGTTGAGTCTTGTAAGGTCAGGGGGTAGGAAAAAAATCCTTCTGCAAACTAGGCAAACTTGGGCTGAAGTGCATTATGGGCAATGGATGTTGAAGTTCACCATGACAGACAAGGTTCATTGGGTAAATGTGATGTCTTTTATTAGACCAAATAAATAGTTGGAAAAATTGTTCTTTGCAAGCTTTCGGGTACAAACACCCTTCTTCAGGCCCAGGGTGTTTGTACCTGAAAGCTTGCAAAAAACAATTTTCCAACTATTTATTTGGTCTAATAAAAGACATCACATTTACCTGAAGAACATTGTCTGCCTATGCCCTTAGACCAACACGGCTACAACCAACACCCCTGAAGTTCACAGTGATATTTTGGAAGTGATTTTTCAGAATGCAAGTGCACTGTAAAGTAACTTGAAAAATTACCCAGTTTTGATACCTCTACAAAGTATTGTAAGTCTGGCAATAGAACTATTTGGCCTTGTTTTCCACATTTAAAGAGAAAATACAAGAACAACAATAAAGCCACATTATTTCTTTTAGATTTTTTCCAGCTCCTGGAGCTCAGATCAAATCTAATTTCAGATACTGTTTTTAATTCTGAGTTCGGAAAGATAAAGCTTGCTAACCAGACACTAGGCTCTGGGAGCCTGTGGGAGAAGCTGAAGAAGAACAGCAATCTGTGAAGATTGCTTTGTTGAGATTTCTCTGTCATCGCTGTGCTGGAGGGCAGAGTTTGCCTTGCTGTGGAACCAAATGCCCTACTCCCACAGGCTGCTGGCGCAAGTCCAATGCACCATGCTGTCAAGTCTCTTGCAGTTGCTGGCAGTCTCCTGAACTCCCCACATGCAAGAAGATGTCACTGAAGAGAAAGGGCTGTGAAAATGGATTAGGATTTCTGCTGCAGATGCAGTTACATAGAGGGGAGGAAGGAAACAATGAACGTTCCCTGATAACTGACACACCCTCTCATTACCTGGCCCACCTGCCCTTCAGAGATCTTAGGATCTAAGACAATCCCTTCCTGGGGCTGGAAGAAGAGTGGATGCTCTTACAAAAGGGGAGAGACATGTACATAAATGTATGTGAATCATGGGTGCATAATCAGATCCTCAAGTCAAGAAGCACCCTGGATGGGAATTTGCTCCTATTTACCAGGTTTGTACCCACAATTCGGGATTTTGTTTCTTTACACTTTATTACACTGTGCTAAGAGCAGCCCCCATGCTCTGCTTTTCATTACCTTCACTGGTGGACTCCATCCTGGATGCGGTGTTCACAGTATCTCCAAATAAGCAGTACCGTGGCATTTTGGTTCCAACAACTCCAGCCACAACAGGCCCTATTTGAGGGAAAGAAAGCCAGGAATTCTCAGAGACACTTTTAATTGACCCCTGAAGCTAAGCCTAAAACCTGTGTGGCCTTCATGGGCATGTTCAGCTGAGTGCATGTGTGTAGTTTGTGGTGCCTCAAAGCTGTCTGAGGTGCCTCAAACTGCATGCAGCGTGTGTGCAAGTGTTCACCATGCTGCAAATTAGACAAAATCTGACACCAGCCCGGCCATCCAGAACCACATGCTGGCTGCTGGCAGCTCACTCTTTTCCTCTGTGCAGCCAGATTGGCCTTGCTTCCCCTCTGTGCAGCCAGATTGGCATTGCTGCTGCTACAAATGCTGGCCCCAGCCTCCTCTACCCCACCCTGGACAAATTGCCCTGCACCAAACCCCACACACGGGGGTGTGTACAGCAGCAAAAAGCAGTGGCACAGATTCTTGTCACTGCAATTTTTGCCACAGCAAATGCGTACCCCTGCATGTGGGGATGTGCCCCATGGTTGCAAGAGACCAGATACAATGCATAGCTCCTGTCTGCCAGCCACAGCACCATTCTCAGTTCTTCACAAAGGAAAGGACTGAGTAACAATTTTGTTCTAGCCACTCCCTGCATTTGATAAATTGAGCTTCAGCTCCACAACTAACTACTAGCTGGGTAGAAGAGTCAGCAGAGATCAAAGAGCAGAGATCATAAGCAGAGGAGGACTGGAGTGGAAAGATCACAGGTTGTTCATGTAAGGTCCACAAAACCTTAGGCTGGCTCATACCAGGAAGCATCTAGAATTACAGAAATCAAGAAATGAGCCCTTAGCTGCTGAGGACAGCCAGTAAGCTTTCTGTTCTTACTTATGCCCACTGAATGTTAGTTCTGATCCCCCCAAATTCACCCATTACACCTTAAGATAAGAATGGTTTGATCTGCCATTGAGATAATGTAAGCAAACTATTCTGTAGACTCTGTGCAGTGCAGAGCTGAGCGTCCCATTTGGTCCAATTTTTTAGACTCTATTGTTCACCATACACTTTGAAGAGTGGGAAATCATTTTTCAGCCCAGGCAGCCAGGGCAAGCGTAGCATCAAAGATATGAGAAAGGCTTTCTGCTTTGGATAATGAATAATAGAATCGGTCCAATGAGAAAGAGGCTGTTCCCTGCCTAAATTAGCAGCACTTCTCTCTTGTTCTCTGTGGAACACAAGTGAGATCTGACCCTTTCCAGTCTGCCTGGTGAGGTGCTAGTTTACTTAAAATATTTGTGCCAGGCTTGTAATTTAAAATGCAGCAGCTGCCCCTCCGCAACAAGATCTTTGTCAAGGTATGTCTTAGGATAGAATGATGCTGCAGTCACTTGGGGCCACATGTGTCAGGTGTTCAGTAGCATCCACAGTTAATGCTGACCTGAGCATTCAGATGTAGTGTACTATGTCCATGGCTCAAAATTCAGCTCATTCTTTCCCT